AACACATTTTGAAACGTAAAAACCATAAATCGGATAGAGTCATCGACCCTTTGATTATTATAACAAAATCACATTCAATTATTAGTTTATCTTAATTCATCGTTTCCTTTAAAACATTCTATTCCTGAATCTAATCCTAACCATATATAAATCCTATTAATAATAATATTTATAATAATATTTATATTAAATTAATAACAATATTTATTCTATTCCTCTACGAATAGTTAAATTAAATTAAATTCACTTCTCAAGCGTGTAACACCATTTCAAAACCATAAATCGAATGAAGTCATCAACCCTTTGATTATTATAACAAAATCACATTCGATTAGAAATTAACATCCTAATTCATCGTTTTCTTTAAAACATTCTATTCCTGAATCTAATTTTAACGTTTAACCATATAAATCCAATTAATAATAATATTTATTCTATTCCTTTACGAATCGTTAAATTAAATTAAATTCACTTCTCAAGCGTGTAACACCATTTCAAAACCATAAATCGAATGAAGTCATCAACCCTTTGATTATTACAACAAAATCACATTCGATTAGCAATTAACACCCTAATTCATCGTTTTCCTTAAAACATTCTATTCCTGAATCTAATTTTAACGTTTAACCATATAAATCCAATTAATAATAATATTTATTCTATTCCTTTACGAATCGTTAAATTAAATTAAATTCACTTCTCGAGCGTGTAACACATTTCAAAACGCAAAAACCATAAATCGGATGGAGTCATTGATTTATTCGAGAATTAAACGAAAACATTAGATCCACGATACATAATTCCCCGTAAAGGATCACGTTACGAACAGTGCACGATATGGAAATCCAACACGTTCGAAAAGCCATAATTCATGGTCAATCGGGAAACAGTTCCCTTAATAACAATTTAAGTTCGAGTTTAACTTGGCCACCTTGGCCTCCATTTGTTAGATAAGAGCGGCAGACTGCGGGGAACCGCAGCGCAGCCATCAAACACGGGTGTCGGTGCAAGTTGTCGAGGTACCAAAGGAATCCGAGAACCCGCCAGTCTTCAAAACGAACAATCAGAGTGTCGAGGTTACGGAGAGCGACAAGGTCGGGTTTCTCGTGGCACTGGTCCAGGCCACCGACAAGGATGGCGACTATTTGTGGTACGATATCATTGGTGAGTAACCGAGTCGATCTCTCCTTTCCCAAAATCGATCCATCATCTATCTGAAAGAGAATAGCGGGAAAAAAAGAAGAATCAAATAGTCAATATTGAGTTTTTAGTGAAGCAATATTACGTACAAATAATATTTGTATCGAACGTGTATAAAAGTTCCTTTTTTATTATTTTTGAAGAAAAAAAAAAAAGAAACGAGAAAAACCTGGAATTTTCCAGACGGCGACGAAAGGGACGAGTTCTTCATCGGTCGAGACAACGGAAACGTGCTGCTCGCGAAGAAACTTGATTGGGAAACGCAAAACTTTTACAACCTGACGATCCGCGTGACGGATAGCGTGGAATCTGCTGTGACCCAACTTCTGGTCAACGTGATCGACATCAACGATCACAGGCCAGAATTCACCGAGAGTGTCTATCACGTGGACATCTCCGAGAACGTGGAAAAAGGGGAGAAGATCCTTCAGCTCCACGCGACCGACGAGGACGAGGACAAGAAAGTGTTCTACAGCCTTCACGCCGCCCAGAATCAAGCCTCGTTGGAGATCTTCCACGTAGATTCGGTGACGGGTGCCGTTACGTTGAACGAGGTCCTCGATCGAGAGACGATCGAGGAGCACGTACTCACCGTGATGGTTAAAGATCAAGGGACACCGGCGAAACGAAACTACGCCAGAGTTATAGTAACGGTACACGATCACAATGATCATGCCCCGGAGTTCATTAGCGAGATCATCCAAGGAAAAGTGTACGAGACATCTCCAATCGGCGCTGCTGTGGTTCAAGTGTACGCCATAGACAGGGACAAAGGAGACAATGCCAAGATCACTTATTCGATTACTTCTGGGAACGTGGGTAACATGTTCACGATAGATCCGAATCTAGGCGTGATTCGAGTAGCTCGAGAATTAGATCTGAGCGCCTCCTCGGAATACATATTGTTGGTAAAGGCTACCGACCACGGTTCCCCGGCGTTGGCCAATACGGTGCCTGTACACGTGATGGTAACTATGGCCGACAACGCGCCACCTAGATTCATCCAAAAAGAATTATCCGCCGAAATTTACGAGAATCAACAGGTGGGCACTTACGTGAAGCACGTGGAAGCAAGAAGCACGTCCTCTTTGCAGTTCGAGATCGTTCAAGGGAACAAAGATGACACTTTCTTCGTGAACCCGAGCACGGGCATCATAGTGATCAAGAACGAGCTGGATTACGAGAAGACGAAATTTTACAACTTGACGATAGCCGCGACCAACATGGCGAGCGCGAAGGCGCATTGTAACGTGATCGTCCACGTTCTGGATCGAAACGACAACGCGCCAAGATTCCTGCAAGCCGTTTACAGCGGGGAAATAAGCGAGGGCGCCACTATAGGCTCCTTGGTACTCACCAACACGAGTACCCCATTGGTCATAAAGGCGGAGGACGCCGACTCCGAGCTGAACGCCCTTTTGAATTACGACATAGTGGAGGATTTGCCGCGAAAATACTTCCACATAGACTCGAGCACGGGCGCTATTAGAACGGTAATGGTTCTGGATCACGAGACCGTTCCTAAGTTCACTTTCCACGTGAAGGTCTCCGATCTAGGGAAACCGAAACTCTCCTCCGAGACCACCGCAAAAGTAATGATCCTCGTCACGGACGTGAACGATTGTCCGCCCAAGTTCCTCGAAAACGACTATAACACTACCGTGCTGCTACCTACGTACAAGAACGTCGCCGTGATCCGAGTCAGCGCCGTGGATCCAGACAGTTCTGAAGGAGTACCGCTCAGGTACGTAAATTATTGACATTCTGTTACATGTTTTGATTCATATTCGACGATAAACCAATTATTTCAATGAAATTCGTAATTTTTTCCTACCTGCCTGATATCAAAGAGATTAGATCCCATTTAAATTAGAAAAATCATCGTTCAAGTAAATATCTGTATGTCTTCCGATTCAGGTACGACATTATCGATGGAAACAAGGCGCACACGTTCGACATAGACTCCCAAACCGGTGTGATCACCGTGTATAATCCGGAACGTATGAAGAAAAGCTATCTGCTACGGGTCCGCGTCTCGGATGGAAAGTACTCGAGCGTGTGCCAGGTGAACGTGATGGTGGAGAAGTCGGAAAACTCTGGTCTGATGTTCCAGAAGGACGTCTACGAGGGCACCATACCGGAGAACTCGACTCGAATCACCACTGTCGCGGTCGTGAACGTTTTGGGGAGCGCGTTGAACGAGCACATTGTCTTCAGCATTCTGAACCCGACCGAAATGTTTGTAATTGGATCCACGTCCGGCGCGATCCGAACCACCGGGATTAGATTCGACCGGGAGGTTTGCGACCATTACGAATTGATAGTGGAGGCGAGGAGTCAGATGCCGGGCAGGGAGAAGCCGAGGGTGGCGCACGTGATCGTGAACGTCACTATATTGGACATCAACGACAACTGTCCAATGTTTGTTAACTTGCCCTATTACGCCGTCGTGTCTGTGGAGGCGCAGAAGGGCGACATTATTACGAAGGTAAATGGGTTACTACCGGGTCAAACCGGACCTTTGGAATTAGGAATAATTAAGTGGTCGGGGGAGATAGGGTAAACTAGATATATCTGGTTATTATTCGATTATTCAAGCTTTAACTTCTGTTAATTGTATTTCAAAAATTATATATTATATATTATAGTTTAAGTTTTCATACATTTTTTTAAATTTTGTAAATTCCTAATATCTTTCTCAATTGGCTCGCAGGTGCATGCAATAGACATGGACAGCGGCGACAACGGAGAAGTTAGATACGAGCTGAAGAAGGGCCACGGAGAGTTATTCAAGGTGTGCAGAAAAACAGGCGAGATATCTCTGAAACAGAATCTGGAGGGTCACAATCGCGAATATCAACTCACTATTGCCGCATACGATGGAGGTAGACAGGCAATTTTTAGAATTTACATTTTGATCAAAGTTTAAACAGCATTCGACACGGTTTAAACTTGATTCCAGGCATTACACCGTGCTCTATCGAGGTACCGGTGAACGTAAAGGTGATAGATCGATCGATGCCGGTGTTCGACAAGCAATTTTACACGGACAGCGTGCTGGAAAGTATTGAGATACACTCGCCTCTAGCTTTGTCTATACAGGCCGAGTCGCCGTTGAATCGCAAGTTGATATACAGTATAACGAAAGGGAACGATTTCGAGGAATTCGCTCTGGATTTCAACACAGGTGAGCGAGCTTTCGTTAGTCGCATGGCAGAACAGTTTTTCAAAAAAAAAAAAAAAAAAAAAAAAAAAAAAAAAAAAAACCGTGGATGAACGATGAAACGAAGATTGAATTAAACGCGCAGCGACCAGGCACGGAACGATGAAGTTGCAACACAAACAATGTATCTTTCGACAACACGCACGTTAAGATTTAAAAAACTGCCACGTTTTCGATTCTCTCTCTTTCTCTCTCTCTCTCTCTCTTTCTCTCGCGTTAATCTTCTTTCTTCTTCTTTCTTTTTTCTCTTTTTTTTTTTAATTTTTTTTTTTTTTTTCTTTTTGCGTCATCGTTCCATGCAAGATACGACACAGTCGAATCGTAGATATGTACATACACGTTTCACGATTTCTCTATAGTTGTTTTTTTCACGAGAAATATTTTTTTTTTTTTTCCCCCAATTGCGTCACGACAGCGGCGAACGTGTGTTACATTCGAAACGAATAACGATCAAAATACGTTGCGTCCTAAATCCCCAGTCCCGAATGAAACGTCTCCTGAGGATTTCTCATTCCAACTCGGCTGTGGGATACATATAATATATAATAACTTTCGACCTTTTCATTACTGAAAATGTTCGCTCACAATGCCTGACGAGACCGAGTTTCCCAGGTCTCTCTCTCTCTCTCTCTCTCTCTCTCTACGTTTACAGCGATAATCGATCGAACACGCGGAATAATTTACCCGATGCGTATCTTTTGTAACGTTTAAATCGTTTATGGCTGTAAGGCAATTTGTCGTTTCCATTTTATCATATCAATTTATCAATTTTATATGTGTATATATAAATGATACGACGAACAAAATCCTTTCCATTTGAAAACGGCAACAGCAATGAAAGGGTTAAATATAAATGATTTATCTCGATAACCTCGATACACAAACAACCGCGCTTTCTACTTTAACGAATGACGTGTTGGCTCCGCTGTATACATGGTATTCGGTGACTAAATTCTAATCAAGTCACGGTGTAGTAGTGGTGAGACAACAGTAGCAAATTGGGGATGTTGGAATGTATCGCACGTAACACAAGCTGCAGTTACAATTATACGGTTAATTTGTTACGTATACGTGAATTAATCATAAATAATTATATTTATATCTCAATTTAATTCCACTCCACGATAATTCAAATTTACATACGTTCCGTTATTATTACTATTTATTTATATAGTAGTTCATTTATTTATTTATTTATTTATTTATTTATTTATTTATTTATTTTAATCAATTAATTCTCCTTTCTTTACCAATCTCTCCCTTATAATTTATTCTTTACGAATGCTTATCTGATTAAACTAGAAATTAAAGTGTTGTTGTATCTCCCTGTTTCGCAGCCCCCGACAGTAACAATGGTCCTTGTGAGTATAAAAAATACTAGTTCTATCGGTCTGCTGTGTTGCACTGTATCACGCTACTGCACTGCTCTCTTTCTCTCTTTCTCTCTTTTTTTCTCTCTCTTCTTTCTATGATGATTTTCATGCACGAAAAGGAACAGTAACTACAAGTTTCCTTCGGCTGCCGGTTTTTCGAGCCGATTCTCGCGCGACAAATCCACATCCTGTCGGTTTATCCATTGGATTAATATCAACCCCGTGCATCACGTCAAGGAGTAAGTTAGAATAACGACGAACAACGATCCGGATTTCACGCGAGATATCGATTGTCGAATTCAAGCGAAAATCGTTGATATAGATATTTAATTGTAAATAATAGACACATGTATTTCTATTATATTAAAATATATCATTCTCGAATTGAACGAATAATAATTTCCGAAAAATATATCTGAAAATTTTTTAATCATAATTTTTTAATCATAAATTTTTAATTTTTTTATGATTATGATTTAAAAAATCATTAATTTAATCATAATTTTTTAATCAGAAATTTCTCAATTGTATATTTTTTAAATTTAAAATATCTTGTATTATTTAAAAATTATCAAAAATACGAAAAATTTGTTCTTACCAGGAGGCAGAAAATCAAACTATACGAAATATAAATCGACCGCTTGGGCGGTCGAGACTTTCATCTGCTATACACAGCTTTCATAATTGCACGGCTCGTGCACGATGTCCGTCATTTTTCACGACATTTAACTGCTTGTCAATGACTATGCACGATTCTGTATAAAAACAAAAAGAAAAAAAAAAAAAGAGATTAAATCCAAGAAAGAGTAAGACTCAACGTGGCATGTTAATCCCCTTTCCCAAAGTAGAAGAAGATCGCTTTTGATCGTACATTTTTGCACTTACTTTTACTCACCGTCTCCCATCCAACCGGTCCTATTATCTCATATATAGAAGCAACGAAGCCGCGTGAAAAACGGGTTTGGAGCACATTATTGCTTTTAAACGCCAATACGTGGTTAACGTGGTTAACGAAGACCACACTCCTCGCGGTGACATATAGTCGCTGCAAAAAGTATTTGCACATTATTATATTCGTTATATAATTATATTTACTGTGGACAAATATCTATATGTTTCTCACTTTTCATGGACAACATAGATCGTTTATATCGACTATTTTTTTTTTATTATTATTATTCTTATACTTTGAAAAATTTATCAATAAAAATAAAAAAAATTTAAGAATGAAATTCTGCTTTAGATATATAATTTAATAATATTTTCATATAATTGTAAAAATTTGATAGTATGGAAATGAAAAACGAGGAAAAAGTATTTTATTTGGAAAATAAGGTACTTTAGTAATTAATATGTGCAAATACTTTTTGCAACTACTGTAATCTAGATCGTGTCTCAATGCTGAGCTTAACATCGGTACACTACTTTTTCTCTACCTAGTTCTTTTTCTGGTTTTTTTTTTTTTTTTTT